GAAATCCATGGTCTTTCTCCTTTAGAAATGTGTAATGATACATTTCTAAAACAACATTGTTTGTAGTGAAATGGGGATGTTTTATATCTATGTTGTTTTTCTATTAAAAAAACTATTGAACAAAAAGTTACTCTTCGTGTACGTATATACTCAATATAGTCATTATGTATTAGATGTCTCTGATACAATCAAATACTTAAGATACTGCACTTTTAAAACTTTTATACTATAAATTTTTTCCACTATTACCAAATAGGAAATACATCATTACAAGATTCACACGACGACATGTCATCATACCTGGACATTATTTAGAGTCCAAGTTGGCCAGTTAAACCAGTTTAACTTCAAAAAGATAGATCGATGCGAGAAGTGTCTGTCAACCGACTAAATAACTGTTTTGATTGAAGGTCTCACTTGAGTTGTTTCTCCTCTTGTCATCTCTATGACCAGAAAGTGAATCTAACCAAATGAAAACATTAGATACACTTTTGAAACTGGGCATGATGAAGAATAAACATCTCTGTCAACAAATCATCAAATGTAGATTTTACAGGTTATTGTTATGTATTTGTGTAACCATTGTGAAACATTAACAAGATCCTCCTTATAGCCTGAAATGTCTTCATAACTGTTGACATAAAGTAAAGCTTAAGTAAGCTATATACTTTAGTTGTCTTATTCAGCTTCTATAATAAATAAATAAATTATCTCTGTACCTTTCGTTTTGTAAATTTTCTGCAAGTTTAATCACACGTTCTTTCCTCGTTGCCTGTTAAAATACTAGAACCCCTTAAAAATATCTCGCTCTTGTTTTTATACAGTAGGTATGTAGCTATTGCAATTGCTAAAGTCTAGCTATCCTCAACGTGTCACCATAGCTACTGCCAAGATTGGCATGAAATTCACCATCAGAATATTTTTATTTGCATCCAAAAGACTTGTTACTTCATTAAACTATAAAACTTATCTAACTTCCATTAAATCAATGTTAACTATACTTTGTTTCATTGAAAAACTCACCAAATATAAATCAGAATATAATTCCCCCATTTTGAGCCTCACAAATTTTTCAATATAAAAAAATATGCACATGCACACAGTCAACTTTCGAATACGCATTCTCACTAGAATTTCGTACATCAGGTGCTTGTAAGCATTAACCGATAGGACAACAATTCGAAATAATGTGAAACCTTGACATGTTAAATAGGTAAGAACGAAACAAGTCCAACCAACGTATAACCTCTTGAGGCAACTGTCATGTGCTTAAACGAAAGAAATACTCCAACCATGAGACGTCCCACTTCTCGTATGTAAATTACTTTGACTCGTCCACATGTGCTTAAATTGCTCAAACTCATAGATCAAATTTTATACTTGAATGACTCATACTATGAAAAAACTGCAACATATGTTACGTTGATCTAAATATTGTGTAAATTAGCCCACACTAGTTCTTGGTAATAAAATAAGAGGCTCTCAAGAGCCTGAATCGCTCACCTGTAGTTTTTTGCCTAAATCTTTCATCGATGATTATTTTTGTTTTTCAATATATATTAATGAGTGGCTTAAAAATGCCATTTAAATGTTCTTTGCATCTGTCATATTTTCTTCAAAAGCAAGAAAATGCATTTTACCCCTATGTTCCATTTTAGCCATAGTGGCTATGTTTCTTGACGTACAAGGAAATAAAATACAAAATTTATACTAGTTACTCTGAAACTCATTCAGCCCAAGTTTGGCTGAAATTGATACAGCAGTTTCAAAGGAAAAGGTTTTTTAAAGTAAGCAAACTAGATGAACAAATTGTGAAAAATTGTCTTTAAAGTACAATAACTCCTTAAGGGGTCAATTGACAATTTTGGTCATGTAAAACTTAATTGTAGATCTTACTTTGCTGTTTACAGTTTATCTTTATCTATTATAATATTCAAGATAATAACCGAAAACTGCAAAATTTCCTTAAAATCATCAATTCAGGGGCAATAACCTAAAAATCAGATACCTGATTTGGCGGATATTTTCAGGGCAGGTAGACCTTGACCTAATGATTACTTTATCTTCTTGTCTGATTTGCTCTAAATGCTTTAGTTTTTGAGATACGTCAAAAACTGCATTTTACCCTATGTTCTATTTTTAGCCATGGTGGCCATGTTTTCTGAGGAAATAGAAAATAAAACACAATTTTATTCTAGATAACCTAAGAATCATTCAGCTTAAGTTTGGTTTATTTTGGTGCGTTAGTTTCAGAGGAGAAGATTTTTTAAAGTTAGAAAACATGATAAACAAATTGTGTAAAATTTTCCTTAAAGGGCAATAACTCCTTAAAGGTCAATTGATAATTTTTGTCATATAAACTTATTTGTAGATCTTACTTTGCTGAACATTTTTGCTGTTTACAGTTTATCTTTATCTATAATAATATTCAAGATAATAACCAAAAACTGCAAAATTTCCTTAAAATTACAAATTTAGTGGCAGCAACCCAACAATGGGTTGTTAGATTCATCTGAAAATTTCAGGGCTGATAGAACTTGATCTAATGTACATGTATACCCCATGTCAGATTTGCTCTAAATGCTTTAGTTTTTGAGATATAAGCCAAAAACTGCATTTTACCCCTATGTTCTATTTTTAGCCATGGCAGCCATGTTTTTTTTAGGAAACAGAAAATAAAACATAGTGATGGCATGAGCTAAAAAAAAGTGGGGGGGGGGGGGGGGGGGGTAATTTATAGATCATTACAGTAGTTTTTGAGATAATAGGCAAACACTTGAAAAGTTTAATCCAAACTGTCATTTAACAGCAATAACCACAATAAGAAGTCATTTAGCACTATTGTTTACAGCTTCTACTCTTAGTTTTCAAGATAATTGGCAATCACATTAGCATTTTTGTAGCTTGTTTTGCTAATCATTTCCCCCTGTTTTCAGTTTCTACCAATGTATATCAGTTTTAGACATAAAAGACAAAACTTAAAAAATTTAGTCCAAAATTGTCATTAAAGGGCAATAACCACTATAAGAAGTCATTTAATTGTTTCGGTCATTAGGCATTTTTCTTGATCTTTTATTTACTAGGCTGATTATTTTTGCAGTTCACAGTTCCTATCTATTTATTATATTTTTCAAGATAATAGGCAGTAACTCGAAAATAAGCAATAAATTGTCATTTATGGGCAATAACTTCTACAAAAAGTAATCTTATTATTTTGGTGGAAAAGGAAGAAAGTAGCTCTCAACATGCATTGTATTTTGCCCTCTTTTAGATTTTCAAAATATAAGACATAAAAGGCAGGAACAAAAACTACAAACTTTATACAAGATTGGATGAAATTTGTTCAGTATTTCTATAGATTTTTTTGCAAGTTTATGATGATGGATACCAAGTGATGCCAATATTTCTTCTGGCCCTTTGAGCCAGGTAAGCTAGGAAACAATACAACTATGAAGCTGAAGCCTGCCACAGGGTGCGGGATTTTCTCGTTGTGTTGAAGACCCATTGGTGGCCTTGGGCTGTTTTCTGGTTGAGTTGTTGTCTCTTTGACACATTCCCCATTTCCATTCACAATTTTATGGAATGATTAATCACAAAATGTTAGATAAATATAAGAAAAACCTTCCTTTGATTAGAAGTGACATTGTAAAAAAATTTCATTTTATTTGTTGAAAGCAAAGTGGTCAAAGTTGAGTGTTACCTAGGGTAGATTTTGACAATTTAAGTCCCATAACTCTGAAAATCATATCAAAGAACAGAATTCTCAAGAAATATCTTGAGACATATAAAAAATTACTAAATATTTGATAATTCAGTCCCATTACTCTGAAAACCCTTAAAATGATATGGTAGATAAGTTTTTATTGGACCTGTTAAAATTTAGTAAAAGTGTACTTGAATTATCTCAAGATCTGCTTGGTAGGAAGTAAACAGACAATGGTATCATGGGTATAATAATGTGAAAAATTTAGGTTCCAATTGGCATGCCTTTTTGTAGCGATTCTGAAGGCAAAGCTCTTCAAATGAAAAATCTGAAGATGATGCTGATCAAAAAAACAAAATAGGTGCACAGCAGAATTTTGATAAAATAGGTAAGATTGTGAGAAATTTTCACTAAAATTATGATCATTATATACCGCTCACTTTAGAAAGCAGACAGTATAAGTTTTTTCCATCTACTTATAAACTTTTTATTAAGTTGGTTTATGTGTACATATAGTTATCTCAGGTGCATGCTGTACATGTACAACATTATGCCCGTTGGAAAAATGACAAATCAGAAAATTTTTATTCAATATTTAATACCTCAACATACAACAGAGTAACACATTTATAAATTCTTAAACAAAAATTCCTATCATTTTCATCAAATCACAAAATCAATGATTCAACTTAAACTCTAACATACAAAAATAATAATAATAAAAAAAAAAAACTAGTTTGATTTTCCTGATAAAATCTTCTTTTTTTGACTTTGAACTAAACTGCTAAAACTACAAAACAGTCAAGACTAGCATAACTGATAAAAAATACCTGAACTCTGCAGTTAAACAGTAACTGCCTATATCAATTACATCATAATTTACTCTCAACTCAATCACACAAAAAAAGAAGCTTTGATTCAGGCCAATATTACAAAATTGGAGAAAGACAGTTCAAATCCAGGCTCTTTTCCTATTGCCCACTTGCCCTCAATTTTTTAAAAAGAATAAAAACAACCCTGTGCAAAGTGCAAAGTGTGTGCCGAATTTGCTTTCAATTACGATTTTAGGTCATTTGGCAGTCTAGAGCATACAGGTCTGATCAATTATTTGATAAATATGCTCCTTCAGAGGGGTATAAAAATTCAAGCAAGGATTTTCATAACAAATTACCTGAAAAAAAAAGCATTAATCAGGGTTTAACTACTGGAGTTGGAATTTGAGGGTTAACCCAATTTGGATGCAACAGTAAATAGTGTATCAAATGTATTGGTCTCAATTACAGATGTCTTCGGGGGGGGGGGGGGGGGGGGATAACAATTCTTACAATGACACATCCATGATAGTGAATTTGCATTAATTTGATTTGTATTATAAGAAACACAAGTAAGTATTTTGATATTTTGAAAATGGTGAAATTCCTCATTTACCACAAGGGACATCAAAGTAATCCAACAGCACACATGAAATCTTAACACTACTTGTTCTAAAATTCACTCTTTTCTTTTAGTTTGAAAGACCTTGGCAAGTCTATTTGACTAGATGCAAGATCTTCCAGCAAAGGCCCTTCTTTTATAAAAAGGGAAAATAAATACAAGCATTTCTATATAAATCAGTCACAAAACATGCAATACATATTTACTACAATACCATAATCTGCGTTTTTTAACAGTACATAGTTCAATATCATTTCTAAAAAAATTGGACACTATTCTGTGTATTTTATTATGATAAATTTGATAAGGTCATTTAACAGGCTTATTCTCTTGCCTAAATGATCATTTGTTAATAGAATAGTTTTAATATTAGCATACTCGTCTCAGAACTCTTTATTCCTGCCAAGTACAAAGGAATCTTTATTGGTGATGGAAGATATGTCTGTCAGTGGCTGAGCTTTGTCTATTGTTGATTTTTTAAATGTTTTTTTTTGCCCAAGTACATTTTCCTGAAAGAATGAAGGGAAATTTTCTGGTAGTTTCCTTGAACTTTTCTCAACTGTATTTTCTTGGTTTTCGAAGTGCATCTTTTTGCCAACCTTTTGTTCTCCATCGATACATGAATAATGTTTCAAAGAAAGATCATCCTTTATTGTATTTTGCAATGTACCAAATAATTGTGTTTGATTCAGCTGAATATTTTTCTTGATCGTATTTATTCTCTCTACAGCTACTGCTATCCTGTCTGTACATGGCTTTTTATAGGACAACTCCATCATGGAAGACTCTGGTTTTCTTTTTTGAGTACTAAATGCCTGACTGGTTGGAACAACTTGGTTGTTGCAGGAATCATAATTTCTATCAGAAGAGTTATCAGAATCGATAGCTTTGTTTGAAGACAATATTTTATTACTAGGTAAAAAGTTAGCATTTTGTTTCGACAGAATACATGATCCTGCCTTCACTTCAACAGATCTTCCAATTCTGTAACTTTCTTGTTTCTTCTTTTGGTTTCCTTCATTACTTGAAGCATCTCCACAGCTAGATATAAAGGAAAGGTAACTCTGCATGAAATTTACTCGACTCTGTTTGTCTCCCCTTTGACAGACAAGGTGTTGATTATCCATGTTTCCACAACCAACGTTTTTAGATTCACTCATGATCTTTTCATCACTGGTCAAATTAGTTGCATCAGAAGTCAGTGCATTCATCTAAATATGAAATTAAACAAAAGAGATCATACAATAACACAATGACATGAAAATTGCAGTGCATATATTTTATTTCCTAGTTTAAAAAAAAAAGTTGTTTTCTCAGGTATTCAATTCTTTGTTTTAATTCATTTCTATCAAAACAAATTGTATCTTTATTTGACCGAATTTTCATTGGCATTATATTGCCATAACAAACAAGATTACATTAGATTTACACTTCATGAATTATCAGCCATCTGACTGGCATAAAGACTATCATGTGACTTAAAATTAATTCTCCAGTTCTTATGAAGCACAAATTTAACCTCTATGGGCATGACAATGACTCCAGTGAAGCTGCAACAATCATGCAGATTGCATAGTTATATCTCAAAACAATACAAAAGAAATATTCAAATCTGAAGGCAAGTTTTCATTTGAGTTAAGATTGTCGCTTTGGTATCTTTGCCTATTTTTGTTGTTGTATTGTGAAAAAAATTCTCAATCTTGAAACTAGAAATAAGATAACCCTGCCATTTTACTGTTGTATTACAGAAGCACAATGGGGTTTTAACATGAGTTCTGCAATTTTATGGATTTTGTGTAGATGAATTTTTTTTTGTGTGCAAGTACAATGACCTTGAACTTTCATCATTCAATGAGCTGAATTCAACATCATTACAACCCTGCTAATAATAAATTCTAATCTCTTAAAACTAAAGTTAAATAAATATGCTGAATATTATTTAATGAAAAGAATTGATTTTCCAGGCTGTTTGGTTGTTTTCTAAAGCCTCTTTAATACAATGTTGTTCAATTTGCTCAGATCCAATATCAATACTAGTTTGACTTCTTTTACTGTTGTCAATATATTAATTTATCCAACTACTCTTTGACTTACACTGCTGACTTCTTTCTTTGGTTGCTTTTCAGACCAGTGAATTAAACTGTTCTCTGCTGAATGACTACATGTGTATTGGCTGTCAGATTGATATTTGGAATTATTTACTTCTGATGAATGTTTTGGTGTCCACTTAGTTCCTTTAACTTTTGGTTTGCTCTTGGTTTTTATAGATCTTCCTAACTTGAATGAACCTGATGCTCCCTGTCCTTTGCATTGTATCAAAGTTCCATTTTTCACTCCAGCATTAAGGGCCATTTTCAAATGGTTATTTGCAATTTTTTCATTAACAGCTATCTTATAATTTGCTTTAATGTATTTCAGAATTGCCTGCCTTGAACATCCACGCCTGATCTTTATACTTTTTATAGCATCTTGTATCATATCTCTGAAAGGTGGGTGATCAAATTGTTCTTGTTTCAGCTTCTTTTCCTGAAAAAAATTGAATTTAAAGTCTTTGCTTGCTGAAGTGTTTTCAGTAATTCTAATTGAACTTGATGTGATGGTACGCAAAAAATCCTTTTGATATATATGTGTTGGTAAGACACCAATGCATTTATCCTGCAGATGTCATTTTGAAAGCATTTTAACATTGAAAAACTAAGGCTTTTTAACAATTATCAATCATACAGAAACACTTTTTTATGGTGAATGTCATTGTTTCAATTCAATAATTGTCAAATTCTCTATTAACAACACTGCTTAGTTCATCAATACAGGGATAAGTTAGAACAATGAACTCACAAATGTATACCCCTACCTTAAGAGAGACAATTACCACATATTGAAATATTAAAGTAAGTAAACTTGATTATCTCCCCTTTAACATGTGCAACAAGGAGTATATGCACATCCTCAGGATGTGTTCATCAATTACGTTAAGTTTCATCAACATCCATCTAGCTGTTTAGGATGAGTTGCTTTGACTGAAAACTTTTATTACATATTACAATATTAAAGTAAATAAATTTGATTCTCTCACCTAAACACCTAGGACCTGGACTATATTCCTTTATACCTATTTTATAAAGCGACCTTAGGCCATAACATAAAAAGTGGGGATGTATTCTTATATCTAAGTAACTTAAAAAACTTATTTACACATCTTAGGCCAGGGTTTTTTAATTTGTTGGTTTACGGATCCGCCGACCCGATTTTTCAGATTATCAGAAAAAAAATCAAAGAGCTGAAAGCTCTGAGGAAAAATGACGCCACTGTCTCTAATATTGTGATATTTTTTATGCAAGTCTTGATTTTCACATACCGTAATTAGTTTAACATTCCAACATGTCTCGTAAGCATATAATTGATATTTGTATATGTGTGTGTTATGTGAAGATGACAACTGGCTGTTTTTTTAGTACAAATGTATAGGTCAAGACTACCTGAATGATCTACAGTATCCAATGACTACTGGCTGTTTTTTTCTATAAATAAAAAGGTCAAGACTACCAGAATGATCTACAATATCCAATGACTACTGGCTGTTCTTTTGTACTAATAAATAAGTCAAGACTATTTGAATGATCTACAATATCCAATGACTACTGGCTGTTCTTTTGTACATATAAATAAAGACTACCTGAATGATCTAAAGTATTCTAAGTAACTAAGTAATGTGATTTTTGTCTTGCAATTACATTTTTCTAAATCAAAAATATAGACTACTAGTATCCTTTTCAAACCAAATGATTATGAAGAGCCTGTTGTTATCAAGCTCTTATACCCCACATACATGTACTCATTAAAATTAATAAGTTACTAGTGACCTAGTTATTTCTGTTACTTGAAGCAAATAATATTTCTGTAGATTTAGACAATAGTATAATATTGTTTTACTAGTTTTATTTCACCTTGAAGATTAGACAAATAGGGATACTCCTTTGATTTTTTATTTCATGTCAGTCAGGTCGCTTTATATGAAACTTGAAACCACTTCTCTGCCATATTGTTATTTCATAACAACTCTGCCCTTGACCATCTTGACCCATGTAATTGATATTCATTCTTTAACCATATATCATAGTCAGTTAGTTTTTGATTTTGCACTCCCACACCACCTTTCGGGTCAAATGTCTGTCTCCATTTAAGTTAAAGACATTGAACAATCATGGTATTAAACACAATTTCAATAGTGATAATGCTGTTCTAGTAGGTCACCATATATTCAACTTGGGTAGCATTCCAGTTATTGAAATTTGTGTCAGATTAGAACAATGATCTAGACCTTTAGGAATGGATCTTACAATTTAATATGGAGCCATAGTATGGGACCCCTACACGGTAACACAAAAAAACAAGCTTGAAAGGATACAACATTAAGCGGCAAAATCTATCACCAGAAATTACAAGTCAAGAGAGGACGGACGGGATACATCTCTAAAATGCTTGCCTAACTGGAACTACAACAAGATCTCCAGACAAGACGAACAAGGAGTTGAAGCCAGAAGTTAATATTTATGTAAAAAGTAGTTGAGGGGCTGATTCCCGCTATTGAACCATACTGTCATTCTATAATATTATTGCGTAAGTATTTCGGTATTGTCCTTGTTATTGGTCCATGTCTTGGTGTACTGCTGGCCGAGGACCAACAATAAGGCCAATACAGAAATACATGTAATAGTATCTTTATTAATTAACTACAGTGTTACAATATTTTTTTATTTCATTTCACAAAAGATAAACATTTTTACCTTGAAGTGGAACTATCCAAATCTCAGTTTCTTTTTATAAGATGCAATATCTAATGATTTGGTGCCGTTTCCATGTATCTTCAGCCTGTTCTCATCTGATGAATTTTTCTACTCTTTCCAGTCACTATAAAGTGTTACAACTTTAATTTAGACACAACACATAAATAGTAATTGGAAAGGTACTGCCATTGCATGTGTAATGCAAATATATTTTTTTTTAAATAATGTAAGAGTTGAAATTGATACAACTAGCCAGTTGACCAAAGAACGAAGATTTGCGCAATTACAGAATGCATATGCCTAGTTCGGGTTTAAAAATAAAAGACCGTTTACAAAACATGAGAAGCGAAAGTAAACAGTAAAAATCGATTTGTACCATCGACATGATGAAATTATGAGGTCGTCAAGAAATGAACTTTGTGATAATTTACTCGTTCCCCAAACCTGAAATAATTCCATTGTCTACTTTCAAAATGCTTTTCAAATGAATGGGACCGTCTTTAACCTAAAATATATGCCATACTGAACGTATCAGCTTGTTTATGGTGAGTAAATAAAAACTACGTTGTACAAACAACTGTTTACTTTCAGTTTGAGTTTATCCTGACTTACGATCTAAAAACTAGAGACGTTCCGAAATCCTGTTTTGGCCGGATCAGAACTCGGCCAAAACTGAAAAAAAATCTGTATTGGCCGAGTTGACATCTTATATTGCATATGCAGTTTTCATCATATTAAGTACAATAACAGTGTAGTTAATTAATTATGATACAGTTACAGACTCTGCTGCTATAACTTTGTAAACAAAGATTCATACGCACCGCGTGGTTATAACCGTATTACTAATTTCCGATTATTAAAATCTTCGTAAATCTGGATAAAGACCAGTTTCTATCCAATGGATATCAAAATGATTCCGATTATTACTTTTTTAATGATTGTAAAGTTGAAATGGCATGAAAGGCTGACATTATTTAGGAGAACTATTTTGTCTAGCGATTGCTGATCATTGGAGGGTAAAAATCCAACACCATAACAAAACGGATCTATTTATCATGTATACATACCGATTGTTTACGATTGTAAGACATGTGCATAAAAGTGAAAGCTCGAATAAATATGAAAAATATAACAAAGGGATAGCTCCAAATACCATTTAATAACAAAAAACATATGGACAGGTCAAGATATCTTTTTGGTAAATAAAATAACGTATGTAAACTGGTTCCCGTCCGACTACAACACTTTGTTCGAGTGTAGCGTAATACAAGCAGATTCCAGTTAGTAATAGTATGTAAAATAGTAAATATGAAACCGAGTGCTGTAGGCGGAGGCATAATCAACTTCCGTTAGTTCTGGTCAATGGTATCGGAAACATGCCGCTGATAGCGTCATTTTCCAATAAAAATGACATTTCATGGTTTTTTTATTCCCGCCGACCCTAAGAAATATATTATCCCAGATATATAAATAAAATATCTGCGTAGCAGCATTTTCCTGAAATTATATGCATTATTTAAGCATGTTAAAACATTATCAGAAATGATTACACATTGTGTTCCAAAAAAATAAAACTCGAAATAATCCGTAATCGAAACGAAACCTACATTATAAACCTGTTAAAATAAGTTTGTTTTCTTTTTTTGTCATACTTCCGTAAGTTTTTTCATCTCATGGAAATACAAACTAGAGGCTCTCAAGAGCCTGTGTCGCTCACCTGTATTTACTGATGCTTTGGAAATCATGTAAAATAAGGTTAAAATCATAATTAATAGTATTAGATATTAGATATTATAATGATATCTAAGATAATAACCAAAAACTGCAAAATTTCCTTAAAATTACCAATTCAGGGGCAGCAACCCAACAACAGGTTGTCAGATTTGTCTGAAAATTACAGGGCAGATAGATCTTGACCTGATAATCAGTTTTACCCTATGTCAGATTTCCTCTAAATGCTTTGGTTTCAGAGATATAAGCCAAAATCTACATTTTACCCCCTATGTTCTATTTTTAGCCATGGCGGCCATCTTGGTTGGTTGGCGGGGTCATCGGACACATTTTTTAAACTAGATACCCTAATGATGATTGTGGCCAAGTTTGGTTAAATTTGGCCCAGTGGTTTCAGAGGAGAAGATTTTTGTAAAAAGCTAACGACGACGGACGCCAAGTGATGAGAAAAGCTCACTTGACCCTTCGGGTCAGGTGAGCTAAAAATGGGCCACTTCGTTTATGTCAAGGATAGTGAAGTGTAGTTTCCGTGCAACGTGTTTGAAATTTTTATTTCACATGTTTTCTGCTTGAAACTCATTATTCACCATATCTTCTGAGAGTAGGCAAAAAGCAACATGTAGCTGTTTTTTTGTTTGTTCGTAAAATGACCATTTTATTTTCCTGTTTTTCCGTGAACATTAGTCCCCCCTTTTTACAATCTTATATGACAACGGCATGCATTGCATCTTTAAAACAGCTGAGAAATAATATTTTGAACTAAGAAATGATGACAACTAAGCTTAAAAAAATATTGTTGGTAAGCTGAAAGATATATATTTTTTATATACATATTTATATTTTGAAAGATTTAGAAAAAAAAAAATTTCCCAACCGACCAACCCGACCTTTTCACATAGAAAATCCGTAAACCAACAAATTAAAAAACCCTTGCCTTATATATACTATAAGTAGATTTTTCAAACCTGTGATCTCTGCAACTCTGTTCTTGGTTCAATGGTGGCTGACTTGTGATTTTCTAACACACATAAATCAACTTGGTGTTCAGGAAATACTGTTTCATCATTGTAAGCATGATCCACCTGGTTCTTTGGTTGAAGTCTTTTTTACTACCCTGAAAATGATAAATCATGCATCAGTCAACTTAGTAAGCTCCTTCAGTAGGATTGACATTTATCAAGACAATAGTTCCTGGAGAATCCATTTGTCAATGTAGTAATGATTCAAAAGATGTCTTTATAGTTTCAGGGAAAAGATTATTAATAAATGGGTCGATCATTATTAAAGAATGTGTCTGTAACCATGTTTTCCAGTTTCAGGGAAAAGATTTCTAATAAAGGGGTCAATCATTATTAAAGAATGTGTGTGTAACCATGTTTTCTGTCCAAATTAAACTAACTAAGAAGAGCTTGGTTTAATTTGGCAAAGTGAAAGGACCTTCCATAAGTTATACCAATTTTGCTTCAATTGACAAAGTAGTTACAGAGAAAAATATGAAAAATAATTTCACCACATAAATTTACTGATAATTTATGTGCAATCATTGTAACTTTTATCATCAGATAACTATGAAATGAGAATCAGTTGCATATGATATCTCACTCAGCATTCCTGTCAAAATGAAACCAAAAGTGTGAGGGACAGAGCTCCAGATAAGCTGCGTATTTGTGTGAATACGCAATAAAAACAATTGCAGCATTCAAAAACCTAATTATATGTAAAAACTATGCGTTTTAAACCCTACTTGTTGCTATCGTGTGAGTTATTTACCCTTATTGATAAATAGTTGTCGCATAAATCTATTTTTGTAATATTAGGAAATCAGAGTTAGGAAATCTACTTTTGTTCTAAAAATAGAGCGTTACAACAAATATCTGATCTGGGTCCCTGTTGGAAGAAATTATCTGTTACTCAAAGCTGCATGTATCCCCGGTAAACATAAGGGACCAGTTTATAAAATTTTCTTTGGCAGACCATGAGTCGGAGAGGCAGAAAAAGCATCACTAGTAACAATTAAAGTGGTATATTCTGATGAACTATTGACAACAGACCGCTGTGCGGAAGCACAAAAGTACACAAGTAACATTATCAATTCCTTAATGGAGAAGGCGACAACTCCGAAAGAACCCATGGCTAAATAAAATCGATTAAATGGGGGTCTCATATATATATTGCTCTGAAAGTAAGTCTACCGCAAGCTGCTGAGACAACAAAATTACAACATGTACAAGTGTTTGGGTCCATAAAGGGACCCCAAATATTAAGCTGTCAGCTGAGTGACAAGACAAAATGAGTGTGCTGAATAATACAAAACAACATTTTTGTGCATGTACCAAGTCGGATTATCTGGACCACGTTTTGTACGTTGGCATTTGTCTTTGCTTGTACAATTGTTCTTTTAGAGGAGTTTATTTTTGGTGATTCTTTTAAACATTGTGGAAAGATAGATAAATACTTTAGCCATTAAAATAGTGCTGATACATGCATATCCAAATAAAACTTACTATGTCATCAACAGGTTGATAAAATGATTTTATATTTATAGTTTTGAACCTGTCAATCCAGGCAAGAGTTCCAGGAAAATTTTCAATTCTTTTTTCTTTTGCAATATTCTTTGCATTCTCCAGCAGCAGATTCTGATTCTCCAAGTGTACATTCTGCTTAATATTTTCCTCAATATACTTCTTTAATTCAGATTCTACATCTTGAAATGTTGATCCATACAGTTTATTGAAGTAGCTTTCTACTATCTTAACACGATTCCACATGATATTATTTAAAGTATTAGAAGAAATTCCAAAATCTTCAGCGATTTGTTGTCTTGGTTGTTCCCCTTTGTGCACTTCTTCCATAAGTTCCATTTTCTTTTCCAATGATAAAGGTGGTTTATGTTTAACCATTTCCTTCTGAAACTAAAACATTGATCACAATAACATATTCTTATCAAAAAGCCTTAAGTCTGAAGAAGATGTTAAATAATAATATCATTGGATTAATATTTCATCTAATATCCCAAAATGAACACCACTTTGTTTCCAGATTATAAGAATAACTAAATGTTCAAAACATCATGTATTGCTAATCAAGTATCATTATACGCTCAATGTCAACAATAGCCATAAGCCCACTAAACAAACCTTCCATACAATTTTCCAGCTGATTGGTACAGGCAGGTCTATCACAACTTAAGTGACTTCATTGCTGTCTCTTATGCCAGCTGGTCAGACACATGTTGTAATGGAATTCCAAGTTTTCTTGTTTATAAAGTTTGAAAACATTGTGCTTTGTAGTATAAGAGGAGAGCAATCTAAAAAGACCAATATGGATCAAGAATTCCCACTGACCATGGTTTTCACATACATGGTAAGTTATGATTAGTTTACATACAGGTCCTTTCTTTCACATTATTCCTGTAATGTTGTACAATTTGGTGAATTTGTTTCAGAGGAGATAAAATTTGTAAAGGGTTCTTGGGAACCCCGTGACAGCTGCTATTGCTGCTTTCAATGAAAGAGTATGATGTTTACAGTGAAAAACTAAGTTCATTTATCATTAAAATACAGAAAAAAAAGAATGTGTCCATGGGACACAAATGCCCCTGTTTGTAAATATGCAAGTGTCAATGTACTAATTCAAACCTATTGAAATCTTGTTTTTCTGTGAAACTTAACTAGAGGCTCTCAAGAGCCTGTGTCGCTCACCTGATTCTACTTTGGTTTTGGAAATCATGTAAAAATAGATTAAAATCATAACAGATACCCTAATAATGAGTGAGGCCAAATTTGGTTTAATATTGGTCCTGTAATTTAATAAAAAATCCTGGTGGCCATCTTGAACAGTAAATCGGCAACAAAGTAGCAACACTTAATCAGCACCTCATAAGAAACATTTATGCCATGTTTTGGTTTCATTCCATTCAGTGCACCTCTAGAAGAAGCATTTGTATGTATTTCCCATAGGGTCTTATGTTAAAGGAAGTCCCCCCATTGGCGGCCATCATGGATGAAGGATCAGCTTCAAAGTAACAAAACTTAGTCAGCACCTCATAAGGAACATTCATGCCATGTTTGGTTTCAATCCATTCAGTATGTGGTTCTCTAAAAGAAGACATTTGTATGTATCATCCATAGGGTCCTTTGTTAAACATTGTCCCCATCTGGCAGCCATCATGGATGAAGGATCAGCTTCAAAGTAACAACACTTGGTCAGCACCTCAAAAGGAACATGCATGCCATGTTTGGTTTCATTCCATTCAATGGTTCTCTAAAAGAAAACATTTGTACGTATTTCTCGTAGGGTCCTATGTTTAACTAATTCCTCCGCTGGCTGCCATCTTAGATTATGGATCGGCTTCATAGTAACAACACTTGGTCAGCACCTCATAAGGAACATTCATGCCATGTTTGGTTTCATTGCATTCAGTGGTTCTCTAAAAGAAGACATTTGTATGTATTTCCCATAGGGTCCTATATTAAACTAAGTCCCCCGCTGGCTGCCATCTTGGATGATGGATCAGCTTCAAAGTAACAACACTTGGTCAGCACCTCATAAGGAACATTCATGCCATGTTTGGTTTCATTGCATTCAGTGGTTCTCTAAAAGAAGACATTTGTATGTATTTCCTATAGGGTCCTATGTTAAACTAAGTCCCCCGCTGGCTGCCATCTTGGATTATGGATCAGCTTCAAAGTAACAACACTTGGTCAGCACCTCATAAGGAACATTCATGCCATGTTTGGTTTCATTGCATTCAGTGGTTCTCTAAAAGAAGACATTTGTATGTATTTCCCTTAGGGTCCTATGTTAAACTAAGTCCCTCTCTGGCGGCCATCTTGGATGATGGATCGGCTTCAAAGTAACAACACTTAGTCAAGACCTCATAAGGAACATTCATGCCATGTTTGGTTTCATTCCATTCAGTGGTTCTCTAAAAGAAGACATTTGTATGTATTTCCCATAGGGTCCCATGTTAAACTAAGTCCCCCGCTGGCATCCATCTTGGACTATGGATTGGCTTCAAAGTAACAACACTCGGTCAGCACCTCATAAAGAACATTCATACCATGTTTGGTTTCATTCCATTCAGTGGTTCTCTAAAAGAAGACATTTGTATGTATTTCCCATAGGGTCCTATGTTAAACCAAGTCCCCCGCTGGCGGCCATCTTGGATTATGGATCGGCTTCAAAGTAACAACACTCAGTCAGCACCTCATAAGGAACATTCATACCATGTTTGGTTTCATTCCATTCAGTGGTTCTCTAAAAGAAGACATTTGTATGTATTTCCCATAGGGTCCTATGTTAAACTAAGTCCCCCGCTGGCGGCCATCTTGGATTATGGATCGGCTTCAAAGTAACAACACTCGGTCAGCACCTCATAAGAAACATTCATACCATGTTTGGTTTCATTCCGTTCAGTGGTTCTATAAAAGAAGACATTTGTATGTATTTCCCATTGGGTCCTATGTTAAACTAAGTCCCTCACTGGCGGCCATTTTGGATGATGGAACAGCTACAAAGTAACAACACTTGGTCAGCACCTTGAAAGGAACATTCATGCTATGTTTTGTTACATTCCATTCAGTGATTCTCTAAAAAAAGTCATTTGTATGCATTTCCCATAGGGTCCTATGTTAAACTAAGTCCCCTGCTGGCGGCCATCTTGGATGATGGATCAGCTACAAAGTAACAACACTTGGTCAGCACCTCCTAATGAACATTCATGCTATGTTTTGTTTCATTCCATTTCGTGGTTCTCTAAAAGAAGTCATTTGTATGCATTTCCCATAGGGTCCTATGTTAAACTAAGTCCCTCACTGGCGGCCATTTTGGATGATGGAACAGCTACAAAGTAACAACACTTGGTCAGCACCTTGTAAGGAACATTCATGCTATGTTTTGTTTCATTCCATTCAGTGGTTCTCTAAAAGAAGTCATTTGTATGCATTTCCCATAGGGTCCTATGTTAAACTAAGTCCTCCGCTGGCGGGCATCTTGGATGATGGATCGGCTACAAAGTAACAACACTTGGTCAGCACCTCCTAATGAACATTCATGCTATGTTTTGTTTCATTCCATTCAGTGGTTCTCTAAAAGAAGTCATTTGTATGCATTTCCCATAGGGTCCTATGTTAAACTAAGTCCCTCACTGGCGGCCATTTTGGATGATGGAACAGCTACAAAGTAACAACACTTGGTCAGCACCTTGTAAGGAACATTCATGCTATGTTTTGTTACATTCCATTCAGTGGTTCTCTAAAAGAAGTCATTTGTATGCATTTCCCATAGGGTCCTATGTTAAACTAAGTCCCCCGCTGGCGGCCATCTTGGATGATGGATCGGCTACAAAGTAACAACACTTGGTCAGCACCTCATAAGGAACATTCATGCCATGTTTGGTTTCATTCCATTCAGTGGTTCTCTAGAAGAAGTTCAAAATGTAAAAAGTTAACGCCGACGACGGACGACGCCGGACGCCGGACGACGGACGCCAAGTGATGAGAAAAGCTCACTTGGCCCTTCGGGCCAGGTGAGCTAAAAATAGGGGCATAAAAAAAGAATGTTGAAAGGGACGCTACCCAAAGGACAAGGTTCATTTTAGGCCAAATGTGGCCTTGAATGTCAACTTTATCATAAAATTTCATAATGGCCATAATGTGGCACTAAAATGGATCTATTTCAATAGCCTTATTTCTTTGTTAAAATAAATCTCTTCATACAAATACATTCTTGGCTTCAAAATCAGCACATTTTGGATATACTGTCAAAATATGATGGTTTTGTGCATTTTTCAGACCTAAAAGCTTGAGGAAACTCTTGGCCCCAACCTAGGATCTAAAATGTTCTATAACCAAAAGTTGCCAATGATGATATTAAATCCCCAGACACAAAAACTTTCTGGATCATGGTTGGGGGCATAAGTAAATTATGCTAAAAACTGTTAAGAATTATTGAAAATTTGACCAAAACTGACGTTACACCACAAATAATGCATACTTAAGGAGTCAATACTTGTTGTTTTGAATGTGATGTGCCAAAATGAAGTTATTTTGTATTAATAGTAATATCACAACTATTTCTATGGGAAATTTGTAGTATTTTAACCTGATTAAAATAGAGCTGCGCCATGAGCGCATGATATGGCCCTTGTCTTTAAGTTTTTATGATTTTTCAACGAATAAAGTTCCATAACTCCGCAATGTCATATCAGAAATTTAATTAAAACAAGAGGCTCTCAAGAGCCTGAATCGCTCACCTGTATTTCAGAGGAGAAGATTTTAAAATGTTAGCAAACTTGATGAACAAATGGTGTGAAATTGTCTTTAAAGGGCAATAACTCCTTAAGGGTCAATTGACAATTTTGGTCATATTAACTTTTTTGTAGATCTTACTTTGCTGAACATTATTGCTGCTTACAGTTTATATATATCTATAGTAATATTCAAAATAATAACAAAAAACTGCAAAATTTTGTTAAAACTACCAATTCAGTGGCAGCAACCCAACAATGGGTTTGATTCGTCTAATAATTTCAGGGCCGATAGATCTTGACAAATTAAACAATTTTACTTCATGTCACATTTGCTCTAAAAGATTTAGTTTTTGAGATATAAGCCAAAAACTGCATTTGACCCTTATGTTCTATTTTTAGCCATGGCGGCCATGTTTGTCAATGGATCAAAACTTCGGATACAATTTATAAACAAGATACCCTAAGGAACATTTAGTTAAAGTTTGAAGGTAATTGGCCCAGCAGTTTCAGAGGAGAAGATTTTTAAATGTTAGCAAACTTGATGAACAAATTGTGTAAAATTGTCTTTAAAGGGCAATAACTCCTTAAGGGGTCAATTGACAATTATGGTCATATTAACTTTTTTGTAGATCTTACTTTGCTGAACATTATTGCTGCTTA